CCCCCCCCCCCCCCCCCGCTAAAACATTGCAATGAATTGAAGAATAAAAAAAAACCTGGGGGAGGGTGAAATGAATGCTTCCGTCCGAGATGTTTTTACTATGACAAGCCGATGTACCCCCTGAACCCGTCAGAACTTTCCCTAAGGTACCACTGGATGAGAGCCCTCTAAAGTCTGTTATCAGACTGGTGTCAGGCTAATATTGCAGCATTCACAGCTCACACTGCTTAATATACAGAATCTGTAAGAACTGACCTGTGATTAAACTGGAGATAATTAAAGGAAGGATCAACATCTTCAGCATCCTCATGAGAATGTCTCCTGGAAAGCCTATCACCATGACAATATCGGGGTGGATGGGAGAGGCCAGCCGAAGAAGACCACCAAGTACTGCTCCCATAATAACACCTGCAAAACAAAAAAAGGGAGGGATAGGCATTAGAAAAGAGTCTGAGCAATGACAGGCAGCATGAAATGCTGGGAAACCTCATAACCAGACCCTCTATGTAATCCATAACAGACTAACCTGCTACTATGTGTATATGCTTGATAAACATTCTGTAGCACCACCATGACATCTCAGGTTACCATGTTATCTCCAGGTTATCATGTTATCTCCAGGTTACCATCACTGGGTGGAATCCTGGCACCCGACCTCCTTCTAAAGAAGCCTGTTACAGTATGTGACCCTTACAGGATTAGGCATGCAGATAGTAAAGTGAAAGAAAATGCAGAAGCTCGTATCTACAAACTTGTCATGGGTCAAATGACTGTATTAACACTTTCCCCACCAACACAATGTTTTCCCATACATTATTATCACAGGTATTTATATAGCTCCAACAATTTGCAGCACTTTGCATAGTTGTACATTTACATCAGCCCCTGCCCTCAAGGATCTTGCAATCTAATGTCACTATCTCACATACATACAAGGGCCAATTTGTACAGGAGCTGAAAAACTACCAACATGTCTTTGGAGTGTGGAAGGAAACCCCACGCAAGCACAGGGAGAACATGCAAATTCCTTGCAGGTAGTGACCTGATTGTGATTCAAACCAGTGACCCCAAGTGCTGCAAGGCAGAAATACTAACCACTACGCCACTGTGCCACCCATGTCGAAATGTACACTTTAGGCCTGAAGATTACCAAAACACAATAAAATACCCAATTCTGGGGTAAAATATAAAAGGTTGCATTGAAATCTGGTACCAAAACGTTGGTGGCGATTTAAAAGCCTTCACAGCTTATCTGTAAGAGTAAATGGTAAATGATGGCCCTAAAATGATTAAAGGTGATACGGTGGCTATATTATGTCTATGGAAAAGCCAACAGCTCACTGTAAAATTGTAGACAAATTCCTGGCTGCTGTAGCAGTCAGGGGTTTGTTTACACTCTGGCGCTGCCACCAATGCAATATTTATGTGGGTGGCAGGAAACGGGTTAGCATAACAGCCAGGTAGCTAGCATTTTCAGAAGGAGATGAGCAATGGTAGCCTCCATGTGTCTCACATGATAGGCTACTTTGAGCCTCTGGTGCCAAAATGTATCCTTTATGAACGTCGGGCAGGTATAAAGTGGATCAGTGGGGACCAGCGGGGATAAGTCCACCAGAACAGGAAGCTGTGTCTCATTGCCATTTATCTGTACTAATATCAACCCAGCCAAAGGATGTCAATGCCAGCAGCAATTCACCTCAATTCATTTCCACAACATAAATCACTGTGCTGCTTGCTTTCACTTGTCTTCATAATCAAATTTAGATTTTCAAAGTAATTTGACAACAATAACATTTGATGCCGCAATCTTTTTGATTCCTGTACTAGAGAGATCTATACAAGGATCACTAGCCTTACTCCAGACCCCTGTACTCTGTGTTACTACTGACCCCTGCAAGGTGATTTACATACCAGTGATCTCTGCATTTCTGGAAACCTTCCTAGCTTTTAATGGGGCATTGCTAAATTATCTTTTTTTTTTAAAGTGGGGATGTTTAAATTTATTCCATGTTGTTTAAGTAGCTCTCCACCATTTCAAGGTTCTCTGCCTCAGATTAGATAGTGAAAGGAGAAACAACAGACAGATGAGCTCAGGCAACAGACAGTTAAAAAAAACTGACAGGGGAAATAACCATTTATTTATTTTGAAAACATAAAAAAAATGTTTTTGGTATAGAAGCACTTTACCCTGAACCTGTCCCTAATCTTCAGCACAGTGGCGTAGTGGTTAGCACTTCTGCCTTGCAGCACTGGGGATCCCAGGTTCGAATCCCAGCCAGGTCACTATCGGCAAGGTGTTTGCATGTTCTCCCTGTGCTTGCGTGATTTTCTTCCGGGTACTCTGGTTTCCTCCCACACTCCAAAGACACGCTGGAAGGTTGATTAGCTCCTCTCTAAGTTGACCCTCTATGTGAGATTGGGACCTTAGATTGTAAGTTCCTTGAGGGTAGGGACTGATGTGAATGTTCATCTATGTAAAGTGCTGCATAAATAGTTGGCGCTATATTAATAGCTGTAATAAATATGCACATTAAAATATTTACATATTCTAAACAAACAGCAAAAATACTATAATATAAGCCCTGACTAACCTCTGAGGCTGCAGGCAATGAGGAGAAATTAATCTTCAAAATTCACAACAGGGGCCCTGAAATCTCCTCTCCCCTTATTTTCTATGGGAGCAGAATCTTGGTAGCATGTTTGTAAACAAACAGCAGGCACTGTAAGCTGTTAGAGATCTTTATAGGTGAATTACTCCACAGTAACTTAAGCTACAGAGGTCAGTTAGGTCTTGTTTTTAAGTTCTTTTACTGCCTGTTAAGAATAAGTAAATACTTTAATATCCATTGACAGGGCACCTGTGCACTTTAAGCAAATACCACTATGCTTCTGCATTAGCGCAGGAAGTACTTAAATACACTTTTACTGTTTGTAACCATCCTCGAAATAATACATTGCGCTGTAGTCCGGCTGCACAATCAATTATGAGCATTCCACAGTTCCTTCAATCGTTTCCGCATGGTTGGTAACGTCAATATTCTGGAATATAATATGAGAACATCTTGCTTTAATTATCCATCCACTATTACTTCTGCTAATGAGGGTTTCCAGCCAAAAACACGTTTCTAAATTACTCATTAACTAAGGAAAATATATTTGAAAGCCATTAGCAAAGCCTTGCTACTTTGAACACACAACAATGGAATCCTAAGAGACCACCCTATGCTGTTCTTACTGATCAGTGTCTTAAAGGAAGCTGGCTTTTTGTCTCTGGTAACCAATACAATTTTCCTTTTCATTTTTAAGCCTGGAAAAACAAGAGACTGCAACCTGATTATTTGCTATGGGCTACATAGGTCTGTCCAGTTTTACAATGAGACCCAGAATTCAAAGCTATATGCAAGGGTGTCTACGTCACATCTCACCACTTCAGGTCCCTGTTTTGTACTTTTCATAGTTACATGGATACGTAGTACTTGAGCTTGAATAAAGACACAGGTCCATCGACTTCACGAGTCCCTGTGTAATCTAGCTTTTAAGAGTACCTGTACCCCTGTATATTACCGTCTCTTAGGACAGTATCTAATTGAATTTTGAATGATTTAGTACTCTCAGCTGATACCACAGCTTGTGGCAGAGAGTTCCAAAATGTAACCGCTCTGACTGAAAAGAATCCCCTGCGCCCTTTGTGGTTACATCTTTTCTCCACCAATGTTAGGTGGTGGCCACTGGTCCTCGTTATGGAGTTTACTGCTGATGTTGCCATCACCACTAAATATTTTGTACATCAAAATCATGTCCCCTCTTAATCTCCTCACTTCCAGCGTGAACAAGTTTAAATTTGGTAACCTTGTCTCATAGCTTTAGTCCTCCAGCCCCTTAATTAGCTTCGGTGCCCTTCTCTGGACTCTCTCCAGCTCCAGGACATCCTTTCTGTGGATTGCTGACCAAAACTGAACAGCATACTCAAGATGAGGCCATACCAGCAATCTATAAAGTGGCAAAATTATCGCTTTGTCTCTACATGACAAGGGTATTTTCAGAGGGACCCCTTACTACTGTGACCTCCCCCACCACCATTCTACTCAAATAAGGCACTCCAGACTTGTATGGATTTACAAAGGCCACAGCAGCCACTTGTATCTTTAATAACCATATCAAAAATAAATACAAAATTGAATAGAAAAATAATTACAATATATACTCATAAGAAATTAACACAATTATCCAGTTTAACCCAGGTTTCCGAATCCTTGAAGGCGCTTCAAATAACCAGAATGTCGTCCCATACCTGTATCTGCGGCTTCAGATATTACTAATAGGGCCCCCAGCCGCAAACTGCAGACACTTCACCGGCCAAAACTAAGTGGTCAAATCAACTGACCACCACTTAAATGACACCACACCTATGATGGTTCACCAATCCTTGTCAATAAACCCACGGCATCCCTAATGCCTTCAAGGACCCCAACACACAACACACCAAGGTGACCCTTCCCTCACACCTCCATTGGACAGTCCCATCCTCCCCCAGATTTTGCACAGGGTCGTTAACCAATAGTTAGGCAATAGGCATAAGAAGTGTGTGGAGGAGGTATAGGTCAGCCATTGACTTTGCCTCTAAAAGTCAGTATTTGCATATCAAAGTTACACAGAAGCCCTGAAGCTGCCAGATATGTATAAGTATTTAAACCTTAACAATAGACTTCTCTACTTTGCTACTATCTAAATCCAAGAGCATAAATTTAATATATAGAGGTTTAACATTCCTTAGATATGGTAGCTGCATTAGATTTCTTTTTTCAGGCCCTGTTTCTCCTATTTTCACCTGGTGACCCTGTCAGTAACACACATTCTGCCGTAGGGTGACAACACTCACTCACTATACTGTATCTATGGCAGACCATCATTGTCATCCAAAGAGAGGACTACAGAATGCCTCCTATTCCCCATAATATGGTGGAAAAGGTCATTTTCAGCAGTGAACAGGACAGGGCTGATAACACTGCTTGAGATAAGATCACAGAGTTCACAGAGCACAGGAAAGCACTTTATTTCTGGCAGGATCAAGAACTATTTTGCCCAACAAATTTCAAAATACTAACAACAGCGTACAAAGCCATCTACAACTCTGCCCCTGACTATATCTCCAAATATCACCCAAACTGTCCTCTATGCTCCTCTCAAGACCTCCTATTCTCCAGCTCTCGTCACCTCCTCCCATGCTCACCTCCAGAACATCTCCAGAGTGTCTCCCATCCTCTGGAACTCCTTACCCCAATCTGTCTGCTTATCTCCCTTGCTGTCCACCTTTAAGCAATCCTTGAAAACTCATCTGGGATTACCTGGTATTGAGTGCTTTCAATGGTATATTTACCAGAGCAAATAAAGGAAGTTTATAGTTAGCATTTACATAAACTTGAAATGCATCAACGTGCTCTAAATGCAAGGCACGTGATATGAATCCAAACATGATCAGTGGCCAAAGATCAGTAAGCATATTGAAATCTATGACTCACCAAATACTGTAAGGGTCAACAGGAGGTTGCTCCGAAGCTTGTCACACATCCTCAGACATGGTGATCTGGGGCGCACTTCATCTGAGGTCAGCTGACTATCGTGCATGCGCACTTCCACCTGTTTTGGGGTATTGTTGGCACTGAAAGATACAAAGTTGCAGAAAACAGTTACAAAAAAACTCCACTGAGAACACCTTATTTTCAAGTTGATCACATGACATAATCCCTCCGAAAAGAACCCAGAAACACAATAACCGATTGTGTGAATGAATGCTTACTGTTGATGGGGACCTCTTGTCTTCTGGACTGGCCATAGACAGATAAATGCCTCCACATCAACTATGGGCGGAGAGACATTTGTCAATCCTTGTAGTTGTCACTCTCTTTCCCTCCTCTTATTGAGAAAAGAGAAGGTTGGTCAGTCAAACAAAGCTGAAAAATATCTGTAAGTGATAATGAGCACTTCTGCCAGAAAATCTCATTATCACTCTTGGGGGTGTCTGGTGACTTGATTCTGAGTTTCACATAGAGTTGGATTGTATCAATAAAGCCAACCTAAAGCTGGTCACACGTGTTGGAATTTGTTGATGATCCATTTGGTGGAGGTGGGCCCAGACACCCACAACATGGCTCTCAAAGGCCACTAATGATGTTAAAGCAGGGTGGTCATTCTGGAAGCATTTAAGAGGAGCTATCCCATCTGTCAACAGAATAATAAAGAGTTATATCTTAACTAGGGATGGGCACATCTGCCTGAGATCCATTTGCCAAGGCTTTGACAAATCCTGCCTACAGCATACCAGAAATTAATGGTGAATTCCATTGAATTCTATGGGGAGGGGAATGGGGGGCAATACCATTATAAAATTCTTGCCATTTTCAGGACTAATAAGAAAACCTTGGTCCAAAAAAAGGCATGGGAAGCTGGGCACTGCCATGGAGGACATGTACCAATGCAAATCATTTTTTTTTGGAAAAACCATACAACGGGTAGAGGACCTTTTCATGTGGCATTGAGGGTACATGGTTAAATCATGCACAGCTTTAAAGCATTTCTACATAAAAAAAGTGTATTGACTGTCCTAATGGGATTAAAGATGCATCTCGATTGTTTTTGTATAATTTTGATTTTGTTTGCATGTTCTAAGTGAAATAACTCATAATAGGATTGTATGATGAGAAAGTTCTTTTTTTTTTAACTTGGTTTTTGTATACAGTAAACTCCCTGTTATCCGGCATCCAGGGGCATTGGTAAATTCCGAATAAATGTAGTTCCTGGTTGCTTGAGAGTTACTAATAAAAATAGGTCTAACTAATGCCATACCCCATACTATACCATAATATAAACTGTGTATTGACTTCATATTAATATTGAAATGCAGTAATCAAAAGCACATTAAGACAAATAGACACATGATCGTTTCCAGGATAATACATGCCACAGATCAGTAGAATAGTAAGTGCACAGGGGATTTTGTTTTTTTCTGGTTAGATGAGGGTTCTGGTTAGTTGAATACTGAATAACAGAGAGTTTACAGTACCTATATGTTTTGAATAAAAATTGTTTTTATATCAAATAAATAAATAAAGCTGCACAAGGTGTTATGGAACAATACAATGTCTAGGCGACAGCATATACTGGCAGCGCATTTTTGCCTGTGGAGTTGACTCTTTTCTTTTACAATTAGCTGGTCTTACATACAGCAACAGCACCCCAATGTGATTCATTTCAGCTTTTTTTAGGTAGTTTTAGCAGGGACGCATGTTTTCTCTATTAAGCTCTAATAGCCCCGCTATGACTGGCAGATAGAAATTGGCCAGTGGTTTGCTCAGTCTGTCCTTGTTCTCGCTGATGAAAAACTGTCCTGCCTCTGGCCAATTTCAAACTTCCATTAAGAGTTGAGAGACTGCAGATGACAAAGCTGTGTAAAATTGGCCAGCAAAAAAGACATTTTCATGTAAGGAAAACTGGCTGAAATGTACTAGAGGAAAAAAGAACAGGCAGGTGTTTTTTCACAAGAATGAAGAGACCGCAGATGGTACAGCACTGTAAAATTGCTCATCAACAGGATAATTTTAAATAGCAAAGCTAGGCCCAAACTTACTAGAGACAAAAAACACAGGCTGGGCTTTATTAGATAAATGAAGAAACTGCAGCACACACAGCAGTGTAAAACTGGTCTGCAACAAGACACTTTTCATCAGGGATAATAGGCCTAACTGGTGTATACCTAACTTTTATCTATGAGGATAGGGGGAAGTGGTGAATGTAAATGATATAATGTGAGGTGGTTTAGGTTCACACTGTTTTTGCACCTTTTTTTTCTTTAAAACAATGAATCAGCATTCTGCAAAAAAAAGGCAGCTCTAAGAACAGATAGTTAGTAACAAGTAAATCCTGCACTTTGAGTTCCCCAAAGTTAGAACTGGCCCTATCAACATAGAATAAAAATGAAAAAAAGCACTCCAAAGAAATGAAAATATTGCCCTGTAACTGTTTAGCTTAGAAAAAGCCCTATCTACAATAAAAATACCAGTATAACCCCACAGTATACCCCCACAATTTTATATCCACATATAGGGCCAGAACTAAATAACAAATATGTGCTACAAATAATAAATTCAATGTTGCAAAGTCCACAATCTTAATGTGCAACTGTGTTTCATGCACCACGCAAAAAAAAATTCCTTGGAAATGGATCCACCACCTTTAACCAGGATAATTATCCACAACACGGCATGTGTTCTGAAGTCCACATCAAATGTGTTCCAATTATGTTATCCATCTGAACCACCTTCAGAAAGGCTCACTCACCAGACGGGATGGACCTCAAATTATAAAGTTCAAATGGACATTTTCACCATTATCTCCAGATCTCTTATTGGAGTAAAAAAAAGCAACCAAATAGGAACACCTAATTTTTACTCGGTAAATCCCCTTTCCATCACTCCATCTTCTTATTCTCTTATCCTTAATAGGAAGGATATAAATATCAGATACCATCTAATGGTGTAATACCGCTTTTTAAAAAATTACTGGATAAAAAAAAAACATATTTATTCATTACATGTATTTATATAGTGCTGACAATTTAGGCAGAGCTGTACATAGTTACTCATTCACATCAGTCCCAGCCCCCAAGGAGCTTACAATCTAAGGTTGCTATCTCAGATGCATACATACTGTGGAACAGCCAATTTAGACAGGAGCCAATTAACCTTCCAGCATGTCTTTGGAGTGTGGGAGGAAACCAGAATACCCGGAGGAAACCCACGCAAGCACAAGGAGAACATGCATATAGTTGTACTTATATAATATATTATGATAAACAGGATGCAAGTGTAGAAAAAACTGTCATCCGTATGAGGTCCCACCACAAAAACGAAAGCTCCAGCAGCCTTGAGTTCTATTAGAGGTAAATCCCGGGTTGGTCCTTACACTTAGGGTAAACCATCACAATGACATCACCTGCTAATTCTTGTGGCCATATGTCTATATTTGGTCAGTGTCATCAACTAAATATGGCTATAAGGCCATTTAAGGTCAATTATATCACCAGCATCCCGTCCCTGTTTTTTGTGCAGCTTCGGGGCAGGAAATGGCCTGGCTGCACCTGATTGGGCATGCACTGACTCCTAACTTTTGGGTTGGGATGAGCTCGGGGTCAAACCCAAGCTCATCACTATTGGTCTGTTAACTTACACAATTTACTAATCAGGTGTGGTAACATATTGATACCAAGTGTATTTAATCGAATAAAGCAATGAGAATTTCGGAGTGGGTGAGCTTATAGAAATCACTGCCATGGTATTGGAATTCTCTATAGAAGAAGTCAAAACCCGTTATTTTCTATTACAGCTACAACTGTATGAGCTTGAATATGAAAAGTGATTTATATACTGTTTCATGATCAATTACAACACTGTGTTCTAGCATTTCATGTAATATATGCTTGATACTTGATACGTAATATATACTAGTATTTCTAAAGTTTGTTTTTTAGGCAAGTATGTGAATGTCCTTAGCAGAACTCTAGCTTATCTCCTCCCCTTTACCTCCGTGAAAGTCCATACAGATGTATATGTATCTTAAAAAGTTGCACTCTGGTCACAAAATCTTTCATTTAAACATGTTCCTCAATTGCCACAAATGAAAAAAACAGTAGACCCCACTCACTACATACTGCCTGCAAAAACTACAGGAGGGGTCAGGGGCAAGACCAGTCACCCTACACAAGGAGAGAGAGCAGCAGTGACCGGTCTTTATTACAGGAAGCTCCAAGTTTCTGCACAGAATTGGAAGAAATACACAACGCTCACCAAAATTCAAGTAACAATATTCATGACTCTTGTATGAGAACAATATTTGCATATCTCAGTTCAGCTTTGATCATGTCAAATCTTCTGGTCGGTCCAGTGACAAGTCGCAGGTCCTCAATCATTTCCTCTGGCAGTAGTGTGCAGAAGTTACTTCTGGACTGAGCAGTGCTCATGAAATGATCTGTGAGCCCCTCCAGCCCAGGGATTTTGGGAGCACAGGCTACATGATGATGTCCCCCCAAGGGGGCAGGTCCATGACAGCCTGGGCTCACAGGAAGTATGTTGGATGACACTGGGTGTCATTCAGCCCTGAAGAGGACTGAGGGCTGTCTGCAGAAGAGGACACAGAGGATATACTAGAGCATGGAGTGGTTCTTTCGAACCCTTCCACACGCTGTCCAAATTCAAAAAGAAAATGGCTCTAGATATCCTGTAACCACTGGTGGAATTCTTCCACACCTACCAGGGCTGTCTGGTTTAGTTTTCCTGTAATGCTGAGAGAATTATTGAGGATTACTCAAGGAAATCCATTTTATAAAGGATATCACAAAGGTCACTTTCGTGGTAGAAGTGATAAACGCCTCGGGGGTTGTTACGAAAGTGTAACTGATACAAGTTTAAACAAACCTCTGCAATTTTCAGTCTCGCCCCCAAATTACTCAGGCAAGGGGACTTTGAGAGGCACAGAAGGTGCAGCCGGGACTGGTACTGAAGTGGGTGGAGAGCTGCTACAAGGATTTCATCATACAGGTGACCTCATCCAGCTTAGTGTCCAGGGAAGACAGATGTGCCTCATGGGCACCAAGCAATTGTCCTTGGCATGTAATGCCCTTCACCACCTCAGCAGGGTCCACTGTCATACTGGCCCGTTGATTATGAAACGCACCTGTAGTAGGCTGAGTCCGAGGTGGATCTTAGGCTGAGGATAAGGCAAAGATGTGGTCAGGCAGGCAGGGTCGGCAACAGTCTGGCAGCGAGGTACAAAGTAGGGATCCAGGAGAGTAGTTGGGAAGCGTTCAGAGGTCTTGACACGAACAGGCAGCAAAGTACAAAATCGTCAGGCAGAAGAATGATCAGGAAACAGGCAAGTGTCACGGTCTAAATCCAGCATACAACACAGAGGTCACTCACACAGGAAACTAACCCGAATCAACAGGCTCAGAGCACAGGAAGTAACCGGTATTTAAAGCCTAAGCTAATTGCAGATCTTCTACAGCTGGTTGGCAGGTGGAGCCAAAGTGACCATAACCCAGATAGTAAGGATAACTTGTGTCCGGGTTAAATTGTAATTCTTGTTAACTTGCTGCACACATTCCTGGCAGGTTGTAGACTTGCAGAACACTCGCAGCACAAGTTCTAGGCGACACTTTTTGAATTTGTAGTAAATTTGCTTGGCAATTCTACAGCAAGAGTCCTGCAGGTCTTAGTAAGAGCTCTGCGAGTGTGCAGCACTTCTGCAAAACACGTTGATCTGGAGACTTGCTATAATTGTGCAACAAAATTGTGAAGCTCGGCAAGTCTGCAATAGTTTAGCAAGTCATTTTCAAGCTCAATTGCCTTCTATCTGGGAAGGAGAGTTGCTGAGGACAAAAAACCCGCAGTAGAAACCAAGTCCTTCCAGTGGCTGAATGGCGAGGTCTGTGCACTCCTGCGCCAGAGACCCGGGTTCAAACCCTGAACAGGAGCTGATCAGACAGGGACGTGACACACTGGAGTGATCAGTCAGCTCTCAGATGAGTCTGCTAAATGCAGGCAAACCTGTGAAATATTCATATAGTAAAGTAGGCAACAGAGGTGAGCAGTGTAGGAAGAGGGATGCAGAGGGGGAAGAGGTGAACATTGTAGGGGTGCAGGGGCTGCAGAGATGAGCAGTGTAGGAAGAGAGGTGTGCAGGAATGTATATGCTGGTGGATCTTGTATGTGGGAGGAGCAAAAGGGTCCCCCATTCTCTCATATTTCTAGACATGTACACTGGCAAAAAAATTGTTTTGATTTGGGTTTTGCTTTTTTTTTTTCTCTTTTTTGTCTCAGGTGGGCTCTGCAGGGTCACTCTCAGGTGGGCTGTGTGGGGTTTCAGGTGGGCTCTGCAGGGTCACTCTCAGGTGGTCTCTGCAGGGACACTCTCAGGTGGGCTGTGTGGGTTTTCAGGTGGGCTTTGCAGGGTCTCTGGCATGTGCTGGGTCTTAGGTGGACTGTGAGGGGTCTCAGGTGGGCTGTGTGGGATCTCAGGTGGGCTGTGCGGGATCTCAGGTGGGCTGTGTGGGGTCTATGGTGGGCTGTGCAGGTTCTCTGGTGGGCTGCTTGGCGTCTATGGTGGGCTCTGCAGCAGTGAGCAGCGAAGTGATCTCTTCTTTGGCTCTGATGTCAGAGCCAGCAGGAGCGGAGCTGAAGAGGAGACGGTGCAGGCA